TGACTGTTCGTGTAATTTAAAAGATATTCAAAATTCGCGCCAAAGCCGTTCTAAAAATAAACTGGTCCATGAAAACGCCGTGACATGAGAGCATGGAAGTTGGTCGCTCCGGATTATTGGCTCCTGTCTAAGCTGAATACTTTAGACAACACTGACACAGAAACAATTTCCGCTTTCCCTTTTTGTCTTTATTGACTCTTTAGATGTCTCTGCTTCACAAGACGCTGATAGCTATGCTATTACCCGCCAGAATAACCTCAAGTGGTAATACCTTTATCAAGATTGCCATGTAAGCAAAGCTTCGGTTGTGCGGAATTTGGGTGAGTTGTTCGATGATCAACTTACTATGGCCGTACACATGACCAAAATATGCAGTGCTGCTTTCTATCACTTGCACAACATTATAGACGCATCAGGAAATACCTTTCAGTGGATGCAGCTACGAATCTTATCCACTCTTTTGTTAGTAGCCGAACAGACTACTGTAATAGTCTATTATATGGTGTACCTAAGTGCCATATTGACAAGTTGCAGAGAGTTCAAAACGCAGCCGCCCGACTTGTCGTTATGCAGGCCAAATTTTGCCATATTACCCCAGTGCTCCATCTCCACTGCTGCATTGGCTTCCTGTCTCATTTCGTAATAATTTTAAGACTTTACTTTTAACTTTAAAAGCCATACATGAATTAGCACCGTCCTTAATCAATGAACTTGTTAAAATTAAGCCTTTAAACTCAAGATATAGACTGCGATCTAACGACGGAATACTGCTGTCTCACCCGAATTTTAAAACTTTAACAACCTTGGGCGACCGCCGTGCTTTCGTTGCATCGGCGCCTGAACTCTGATCTGGAACGATTCACCTCTGGAAATTAGAATGGCTAAATCTGTTGACACTTGTAAAGAAATGTTAAAAAAGCATAGTTAGGTTTTTTGATACTATACACAACACATGATGTAATTCTTGTTTACCATTTAGTTATTTTTATTCTATGTATTGTCATAATGCGCAGTTGTTCATCTCGTCATGAAAACTGCGCAATATAAAATTCTTAATTGTCATTATTATTTAGCAATTAATGAATTCGACTTTTGTAGGATATGAAGAATTAAGAAGATCGAGGAGGGTGTTGGCCGAGGTGGATAACACCCTCCGAGATTTTATGAGAGAAACAACAATCCTGTGCGTTCATTACACTTTTTGTCACTCTTCTTCGCCGACACTTCACAACTCCCTCGTAACGCATGATTTTAGAATTTGTGGCCTAAGTAAAAGAACGACAACGAATTTCTATTAGTCTTTTATCTATCTTGAATGCTGGCGCTAACAATTTAACTCCAGCAAAAGTTAAAAGCTTTGGAATAATCACAGATAAAAGAACATATTGTGACGTTTTCACTGCCCTTATCATCGAGGTTACATAAACTTCCCTTTATCTGAAGATGCCTCAACTGACAGTCTCATCGATTGAAAGATAATAACTTTTGTAAGCTTACATTTAACGCTATACCCATCGATTTATATACATATTTATATATATCGACAGTTCTATTACTGTTCATGCTTATATTACTGTACGATTTGTACGACTTAAAAGAGTCCCTAGTAAAGGTAACTTTAAGAAATAATGACTTCAATAAAGTATAAACAGAAACCTTATGAGTTTCTGGTATAAATAAAACATGATAAAACTTTAAACCTGACCTTTACGATTTGTCTTAATCTTCCAATTGGTCACAAACACGAAGAACACAGCTAGTTATAACGGCCCGTAATCCCTCGTAGTCGCTTATCCGAGGATATTAAAAAAATGAACTATTGAAAAGGGGGGTGAAGAAACAGAAAGAGTTTTGGTTTGAAATAGGGTAAGGTTTCGTGCTATGTTTTTCAGCTCTTCCCCTCTTTAGAAAAGAGAAATCATATATTTTGGTACCACACACGTTCAAACCCGTCTTGTATCAAATCAGGCTATTTCTAAAGCTATGTTACCGGATAGCTTGAACAGTAAGGGCAAAGAAATGGAGCAAGTTATTCACACACATCGAACATCGTGCCAGAGCAGTTGCCTGGAAGGATTTGGTGAACTCAATCCCAGTCCTCACTCCTGAATATTCAAATCAGTCTCACTGGGTTCCAGTCCTCTTTCGTACATATTCACTTCTGCAACGGTCCGAATACCTGTTAACACTACACCAAAGTGGGGCACGGAACCTATTCGACGTAAGTGACGCTCCATTTTTGAGGTCAGCTCTGAGAAATCACCGTTCTCATAGGTGAACTAACGGCCCTGTCCGTTATGAATTTCATCTGGTATTGTATAAAAATAGCCTTACTTTAAGGGGAGTACTGGCTTACTTACTTACCGGTAATTAATTATTATTTAACCGCAGCAGGATTAGCTTAGGCCCTGTTTATAAGGAGGGAGGGTAACCCTGGTGCTAGGCAGTTACCCTAGCACTCGCATATTTCTTCTTTTTTCAAACGGCGTGTTTACAAGGCAGGTAGGGTTACCCTAGCGCTAGAGTAACCCTACCTGAGTGCTAGGGTTACCCTACCTGCCTTGTAGACGCTCAGCTAGGGATAACTCGCCTACCCGGGTCAACTTTCCGCCGTCTTGCGTGACCAGTAATCGTGCCAATTTGAACGGCATTTTCCAATTTCTGAAATGAAAAGCTATTTTCTGTCAACGATGATAATATTTTCATTTTTTTGTGAATTTAACGTGTTTTCCAAAGAGAACTTCAATGTTACTTCAAATTTTCTTGGAACGTTACAAAAATACACGCATGACGAAACACGTCAGCAAATAAAGCTAGCCCTAGTGTGAAATTTGCTTATAAACCAGAACTAACTTTAACCCGCTTGCTAGGTAACACTAGCACAAGGGTTTCCCTCTCTCATTGTAAACAGGCCCTTAGTCGGTATAGCGTTTGACTGCGATGCGGGAGGTCGCGGGTTCGATTTCCAGGACCGGACCATTACTCAGGGTCTTAAAATAACTGAGAAATGAAGGCTTTGTACTGCAAGCGGCTGGACCTTCGCGTGGCTCTGATGATCACTTAAAATCGCGGTCCCATCTCCAGCAGGAGACGTAAAAACTGTGGTGTCCCCGATTAGTACTTTGATAAAAAATACTGACATTGACACTCAAATAAAGCGCTTTTTTTGCTCACTTACTTACTCACTCTACTTACTCACTCTACTTACTTACTTACTTATTTACTTACTTACTTATTTACTTACTTTACTTACCTTACTTACTTCCACCTACGTACTTACTTGCACTTACCTCACTTACCACCCACCCACTACACCACTTACCTACCTACCTCACCCCACCCCACCTACTCCACCTCACCCACCTACTCCACCTCACCCACCCACCTTTCCACCCACCTTACTCCACCTCACCTTCCACCTCACCCCACCCACTCCTACTCACCACTCCAGCCACCCACCCACCCACCTCACCCAAATCCACTCCACCTCACCTACTTCCACCTTACCCACCCACCTTCAATTCAACCCACCCACTTACTTACTCACTCTACTTACTTACTTACTTACTTATTTACTTACTTACTTAATTATTTACTTACTTACTTACTTACTTACTTACTTATTTACTTACTTACTTAATTATTTACTTACTCACTCTACTTACTTACTTACTTACTTATTTACTTACTTACTTAATTATTTACTTACTTACTTAATTATTTACTTACTTACTTACTTACTTACTTACTTATAAAGGATAGAACATTGATGAATTACAGTTTCTGTGGAATTGGTCGGAAGAAAAGAATATGAAACTGTCTCACTAAGGAGTATTGTCCGAGGTTGTAGTTGTTCGGTCCGGCTCCTTCCATTCCGATGGTTTGTTTTGCCCAAGTGTATAGTTGTTCGGCTAATACATCGCCGGTTCGGGGTGTGTTTCCTTCATGAACCTTTGTTTGTAAAATTTGATGACAGGCTTTCGAAAGACAAATATGATGCAGATCAGGACACCTGTCAAAAAATAATAATCATTGCTTAGTAAAGAAGAGTTTTTACTCGGCGGTCGTGAAATGGGTCGCCAGTCAATGCTACTGATTGCTCCATTTTGTAAATCTGTAATACTGTCTGGGACGTCACACAGTTCTACTACAATACAGAGATATGAATTGGTTTCTGAAGCAAAGGAACATAATTTGCAACTTGCTGTATTAAGAACTTCATGCCAGCAGACTGCGTCGTCCTTCTTTCCTCATAGCCACGTTCGAAGGTAAAAGTAAAATTATGCAAATCTATTGTAATAAATCTAGATTTAGAAGAGGCCAAAGCAAAGCTCTAGATAGTAGGAAATCTTAAGAAATGTCTTCCTGAAGTAAAGTTTTCTGAGCCTACGATCAGTTGAATACCATAACCGTTCAGCGGAGAACGTGATAAAAGAATTCAACTCAGTGAGTTGTACACCAGAGCCGGCGATACAGATGACACTGGTCAGCGGATACCCTATTTTGACAACTGTCAATTGATCATAACCTGCATTTCCAATATCAAGTTAAAGACAATTTGTATATGCATTGAACGTTTAAGCTAGTAACTAAGGCATTCTAAATACGCCAGCATGAAGGGGCGGACGTACGTTGAGACGGACGGACGGACGTACGTACAGACGATTTTGTCAGAACCCAAATTATTTGGATGCTTAAATAACCAGTGTTATTACCCATGGTACTCAGCTTTGCGCGCTTTGCGCGCGCAAGATCGCCGTTAGAAGGGAGAAGGGATAGTTCTTTGCCCTTCACACGTGCTCTCCGTCCTCTGTGACTCAAAAGAAAAAAAACGGGTGGTCGCGGTCAATAACGTTGTACTTTTGGACATTTTGTTGCTGCGGGTGAGACTTGGCGGGTGTTGCACCAGATTGTACCCTGGACTTGTTTTGGGGAACTAATTTTGATCCAGTTTAGATGAAACTGAGATCTTTTTACGCACGCTTTAGTTATGCTCTCTTCTAGAACAAAAAAGTTCTACCTTGGCAACTGTTTATAACGACGTAGGGATACTCCAAATATGGTGTTGAGTAGAAGGCCAAAGCAAATCCCAGAATCCATGTGATTCCCGTGACAATTGTCAATTTCAGTACTATGACTGGCAGGTTTCTTTGAGCAGTAGCGGCTCTATTGCCCTGTGAGGTGCATGAAATAGAGAAACATTTAGTCTTTCTGTATAGAAGAACCATAATTTATTGCTATCTATTAGCAGTATTTGGCGCAAATACAGGGTTAGTGACAAAGGCTACTCATCAGTTCTGTTAGGGATCGGTCATTATTTATCTCCGGGTGGGGGAAGGGGGGGGCGAAGGATTTGAGGCTGAACAAGGTGAAATTTAGCCAATCCCTCCCTTTGAAAGTTACTTCACTGCAGAGATCCCCCCTAATAACTTTTGATGACTTTCGCGACCCCCATATGTCTTCATTTTCTAAGCAAATTTGAATGGTTCCCCCCTCTGAATCCTTCCAAAGTTTTTAGCGATTCCCCCTTTTGGGTTCTCAGTTACGACTGATCCCCCCTTCTCTCTCAAAACTCATGTGATCCCCCCTAAAATCCTTCCCCTCCCCCCCAGGCGATAAATAATGACCGGTCCCTTAGCAGTCACACAAGAATAACCGTTAACCGGAAATCGTACTGTTCGTCAAGAATTAGCCGAGGTATTTGAGCCAATCAGAGACAGTGAAATATTTTGAACGAATATAAAGCAATTATTGGATAAGGCTAAGTGATGATGCAGATCAAGGAATGTTAGCAATGGCGGATCCAGGGAAGGTGATCCAGACCCTGAGATAGAGCGGTTTCAAAACAAATTTTTCTCGGCCCTTCAGACCTCAGTTTGGTCTAAAACTAAGGGGGGAGGGGGGTGAGAGGTCCGGTATCCGTCAGGATAGGTTAGGATAGGTTATCATCCTTCGACATTTGCATAATTCGTCATATCATACGAAAGCGAAATCAATTAATAGTTATATTCATAATCAACATGTTTCCATCGTCAACAAAATAATTATGCTACACCGATTTTTGTCTGGTCCTCAGCAGTTCCAGGATATGAAGTTATGTTTATTCCAAGAGATATTCTTTAAATAGCAGTTGTTATCCTGTTATCCAAATCCAATGTTTTCAGGCATTTTTCCGGCTATTTCGTCTTTGCATAAGATATCAAATCTTCCGCAAAATGCAACTTCAAATTAGATTTGTAAAACTTCAAATTTAGAAAACATAAATATGCTTGGTTCATTGCCGTTTTTGTAACACAACAGTTCTGCAGTTATCTAGTTTAACCCTTTCACTGCCAGAGTGAATGTTGGAGTCCCTTAAGGCGACTCTAACTTTTGAGTCTCTGGACAAAATCCTATGATGTGGCCATTCAAATGAATCCTCTCTGCCTGTACTTTAAGATGGTGCTGTTTGTTTTCAAAATTTTACAAAACGAAATTTGAGGATTTTTGTTGAATTTTGCCCTTGGCCACACTTGGCACTGAAAGGGTTAAGAGTGTTATCTTTGTTGTTCTTCTTTTTGTTTTTTGGTATAGGAGTGCTGAATGGGGCTGTGACCCTATCAGTATGATTTTAACCTATTCCCACTTCTCCTTCATAATAAAATACAATAGGTAACCTCACAAAAAAGTCGAGAGTGCAAATTGAAAATGGTGTGCCATTTAAATCACTATCAACGGAGTAAGATTTTAAAATAACCTACTTGTCCGTGTTGTTTGATAGCAAAGGCTGTGCGAATCAAAGCCACAATGTTAAACAGAAGCAACGACGACACAGGGATCGCAATGGCATAAATGCGAGCAGGCAGAGACAGCTGACATCCATCTTTGTCGACATCTGAACCTGAAAAACATGAGAAACAGCTGTCAAAGAAGAATCTTATGTGATTTGACTATTTCCATAATCACATTTTCTCAGAGCAGAATCTTAACGAGATGTTTGCCCGCCAGGGAGGGGGCAGATTTTGTCTAAACGGGTGTCCGCCGCTGGACAGGGTTTTGCTTTCAGAGAATTAAGAATTAAATTATTTTTTTACTTTTTTCGCGACATTAATTAGCTTTCGAAGGAAAAGTGGGCTAAATTCAACTGGTTTATACTAATATGTGAGTGTGTGGACTTAAGGATCGGCCCAATTACCAATGCCAGCTTGGTGTTGCAGCGGTATCACGTGACACGTTTTTCAAGATGGCGGACAACACGTTCAGGGATTCAGATTCCAGCTGGGAAGAACTTGCAGATGAATACCCGATTAATCCTATTGAGGAGGCTAAAACTTTTAGACACTTTTATCGGCAGTTTTTTGGAAATTTATCGGCAACTTGTGGCTAAGTCTACCTCCCAAAAGGTGTGCCTTTTTCAGGCTTCAGGTATATAAAGCGTTATGGATTTCACTAGTTGAGGTATATGACATGGTGAAGATTTCGCGGTCATTTCGGCCTGTGAAAGAATCTAATTAAAAGGGCTAACAAAAACATTCTACGGCTGTGAAAGACTAAAGAAACCTTCACACTTTGATGCCGAAGCTAGAAGTTGTCCTGTAAGGGTTCGTCGGTCGTACAACATTTTGAAATTCAGTCAAACTGACTAGCAAATATTGCTGACTCCGCTTCACTTCACATCACCCGCGAGTGAGAAATATGAAGGGAACCCTATATTCTCTTTGGCTACCCGTGAGGGCAAAATTCCAAGGAAGGGGGTCGGGGACGTCACTCAGTGGAGGTTTGTCTACTGGTGTGCCGCTGGGACGCTAAATAGTGAGATTGTATACCCTGAATTAGACTCAAGAAACTTAAAACTACACCCTGTTCAGTAGCAAACGGCAAATATTCTTTTTAGCCAAACAAAGGATGGCTCAGCACCCACCCCAACCCCCACTCCCTTCCAATCTTGCCCGATAGCGATCACCTCGGAACCTTGGCGAATAATATCCAGCTATCTTGACATCGTGTTTCCCTAATACAGCATATCGGGAGTCGTGCCCATTACTCACCGTAACGAACATTTCCGGTGCTAGTCCATTGCAAGGCCATGCAAACTCCAACAGCCACAAATGGAAGTCCCCAACAAACCACACTGTAGCAAATGTATGCTTTCTTTTGCTCAGTTATGACCACAGGATTGGAGGGGTTTAAATCTACACAAACAAAACATGTTGATATCAGCCAAATCCAGTAAAAAGAATATAAAAGATGCATAGTGAATAAAAATGAGACTTTTGGGACGTGAACCAAAATAAGACGCGACTGAAAACGTTCTTGATGATATATAAATGATATAACGTTGTTTCATCTTATTTTCCAGCGGTCTGAGAATCGACATCAGATAATTATGGGAATTAACATTTATTGGTATTTAAAGTGTTCAGTGTAAAACAGTGAGGCTTACTTGGCTTTAGGAAAGTTTTCATGGTGCTGTGAGCGATAGCACCCATCCAAAGGAAAAAAGCAAGGATGGAGTAATGCAACAAGGCACCCAACACAGCACAGGCTGTAAAGGAAACAACATCCGGGTCTGCAGCAAAGTACAAGGACTGCATGGCTATCATTGCGCATGACAGGTGCATTACTGCTTTACCAGGGTAGGTCCGCAGCTCTCCAAACAGGAAATACGTCAGCAAAAGGAAAACAAGGGAAATAATCGACAACGAAAACCCAACATAAGTGATGACGATGAAAGTTAGCGTTTGGTCTTGATTTAGGTTCTGATCTTTCCCAAGTTTTTCTTTTGTTATAGTGTAGTTGCGGGAAAAGTTCGAGCAAACAATAAGTGTTTTATTTATTTCAATAAAGCTGTCGTTGTTGTAGACTTTTTGGTGCGGAATAACGTAAACTGAATGGTTAGCGAGAAGAAGAAATTCGCTGGACGGGATGCGCGGACCACGGCAAAGCTTTTGCTCTGACGTGTTCTCGTGCTTGAAATCGGAGTCAACTGACAGACATCTTCCTTTGAATGGATCGTAGATCTCGTTGATGTCACAGCTAACTTCAATACGCACAGCTGAACTTCTGAATTCTAAATTGTTAACTCTGGCCTTGCTGGAAAAAGTGAAGATCATGAAAGACAGCCTAGACGGAAGACGGAGTTCACGATGGCAAACTACCCAGTTGTTCACAAGAATGTTCTCTGACGATAGAAGAGCACAATGAGGGTTCTTGAAATTTTTTTCTAGTTCAATGGCAATTCCATTGGCGTATGCTCGGCAGGATCGTTTCTCTTTCGTATCAGGTCCTGCCATGGCCTCCTTAGGTGTAACAAGACATTTGTAAGTAGTCATATCTACACCAGGTAGTGCTTCCCACAACGCATTTGGTAGCCTTATGTCCTGCAATGAGATATCCGGCCGCAGGTTTCTCATTATTTTAAGACTCCAGTGGTGTAGGTGACGTGTCTTCCCATGACACATCGCGCAGTAAATGTTGGCATATGTTAGATTCTCCGTTGCATCAAAAACTGGTAAAGCAGTGCTAGGATCAGCAGAGTAATTGGTGGATATACACTTTTGCGCGGTTGAAGAGTTTTGCCAAGATGGCGGACATCTGGCGACCATGATGTAACCAAATATTGAGCTTTTTTCATTGGATGGTTTCCTTCTACAGGATTCCATAAAACCTGTTGTCTGGGATGAAGCACTAGACGCCGGATACCTTAAAAAGATTATTGCAAGAAAAAAAATTGATTTTGTTACTGCTTTAAAAGCCAAGTAATGAACTAAAAACTGTAGTGTCGTCCTTAAGCGGCATTAAACCTTTTTCATAGAAACATATTGTTAGCTACAATGGTGGTGGATATGGTGGTCGTGGTGATTGTAATGACGATGGTAGTGGTGATGGTGAATCAATGTCGATGGCGATGTGGATCGTTATGGTGCTGAAGGTTAAGGAAGTAGCAGTGGTGATGATGGTTGATCGATATTATGACGGTGATGGTGAGGATCTTTCCTAATTGCCAGTAATAATTGTTGTGGTGGTCTCCAAGACGATACCGTTGGTGAGGATGGTGGATCGAATATTGACGGTGATAATGGTGATAATGATGTACGCGCTAGTACTGGTGGTTAAGACGATGACGATGGTGTTGATGGTTGATCGATATTGAGGATCATGGCAGTGGTGGTGACGATTGATCCGAATTGCTAGTAATGGTGACGGTGGTGGTGGTGGTTGTAAGAATGATACTATTGGTGGTGATGATGGATCGATGTTGACGGTGATAATGGTGATAATGATGTACGCGCTAGTACTGGTGGTTAAAACGATGACGATGGTGTTGATGATTGATCGATATTGAGGATCAGGGCAGTGGTGGTGACGATTGATCCGAATTGCTAGTAATGGTGGCGGCGGCGGTGGTGGTTGTCAAAACGATATTATTGGTGGTGATGGTGGATCGATGTTGACGGTGATAATGGTCATAATGATGTTCGCGCTGGTACTGGTGGTTATTAAAGGCAATGGCGATGGTGGTGATGGTTGATCGATATTGAGGATCACGGCGGTGGTGGTGATGATCGATCCGAATTGCTAGTAATGGCTGGTGGTGGTGGTTGTCAAGACGATACCATTGGTGGTTATGAAGGATCGATGTTGACGGTGAGAATTGTGATGATGATGTGAATAAATATGGTGGTGATAGTAATGATGGATCGATGTTGGCGGTAATGATGGTAATAAGGATAGTGGTATTAGTTATTTAAGATCGGATAGTAAATGAAAGTGTTTGATTAGTATCAAAAGAGGATTATCTAAGCCGATAGCTTTTCCTGGCATCACGACCGGGGGAGGCACAAGCCGTCGTTCACACACATCAATCATAGTGCCGGCGCGGTTGGCCAAGAGGGCCTGGTGTTCTTAATCCTCCCTCCTTAAAATATTTACTCCCGTCTCAGTGGATTCCAGATCTCGTTGCTTATTTACTTCCACGAGGGGCTGAAAAGGTGTTCACACTGCATCCAAGTATGGCACAAAACCAATCGGATATGTAACACTCCACTTTTCAGATCAGCGCTGCGCAGTTTCACTCCGTCAGACAGTGCCGCTTAACAACCGTTCTTGTGTGTGAACAGAGCGCTATCCGATATAATTTTCGTGGAGGTGCAGAAGCTATCCTGTATGATGTGAAGATAACCTAAAGCTATTATAAAGCGGGCAGCAAACACGTGCAACGTTGCGCGTTTTACCACCATTGTTCAAATCTTTTTCGCAGGAAATCAGTTCCCATTATGGTTCTTAGTTTAAGTTGCGTGAATACTGTAATGAGGGTTCCTGATGAGATGAATTGCACGGGAGACGCACAATACATAGGAGTTGCGTCAATTGTTGCCTAACAAGTTCGCGTTGGGTGGATAGGACGCGCAACATATTCATATTGGCAACATTTCTTTCTCGCGACGAGCGATAACAGCCTGATTTGTTGCAAGATGGGTCGCTATTCAGCTCGTTTTGCAAAGATGTTGCCAAACAATTGCACGTTTTTGTTGCCCGTTTCACCGTACCTTAACCCTTTAAGAGCGGATGTCAGTAAATATCGACCAGAGGTCTACAAAAGTGAAAAATCGAAAATTCTCAAAAAAATTCACAAAGTAGCACTAGGTAAGCTATTAACATAAATGTAATTTTTACTTCGATCCGATAATTATTTTCCACGTACGGGGGGGTTATTGGTTTCGCGGCTCTCGGACCGGGCTTTCCAGGCCCGAGACCATGTGTCGCAAAAAAATCGTTTTAAAATTCAAATCCATTGTAATGTGGACAACAAATAACTTATTCAGAAGAGTACTTAATTGCACACATTCTAAGTGGTCATTTACTCAGTTTGAACGAAAGTGTAATATTTTGGAGATTTTTCATTATTTTCAATATTTTGAACGTTTTCGTTCAATGAAAAAATAGCAAATTTCAAAGCCCAAAATCGTCGACTGGTACCTCGATTTCAGTAACGAGTCTTATACCACGTTAAAGAGCGTTATCTCTTCTTTCAAAATCTGTTTTCAAAACTACGGGCAACTTAAAAGAAAATGTTTGAGGCCAAAAAATACAAGTAGTACTTTTCTGAAATTTGAGCTTTCCAGACGCGGCGGGCCGATGCTAAAAACTTGGAAAAATACAGTAAGAAATCAGTTTGAGCAATAGTGGTTTCATATTATCAGCTTTCAGAAACCAAGACGTGTTTATACAGCGATCTGATATAAATTAATGCCGTTTGCTATCAAGAAAGGCAGATTTAAGCTGTCAACTCCTGCCAAGTGCACCAGTCACGTGAAGTTGTCAAAGGGAGGGCAAAGCACTAATATTAAAAAGTCTTAAAATTCAAAACGTTTTACGTCCATGAAATCAGATTTTAGCGTACAAAATTAAACAATGTTGTGAATGTCTGTTGTTCGTACCTTAGCATGGTGTTTCCATATATTGGAAATGTCAAGTATCCACACGGGAGAACATACCAAACAACAACGTTTCAAATCCAAGCGCCGAAAGATCGTAAACGGCAAAGATTGCGTTACATTTCACAGAACGACCGCTTACCATACCACTGTTGTCACTCCTTTTTTCGCTGGAAGCTACGAGGAGTTTTCATTCCGTCATGAGTGATTCTTGATCAGCGTTTCCTTGAAAGTACGACCCCGGACAGGTGATAACTGAGGACGTTTAGTCAAGACTCCTGTTGTTCAGTTTCAGGCTTTAGCAGGTGCGTAGTCAGGATTTTTCCGGAGGTAAGGCCAACTTTTTCTACATCTTCTTTCCCCCCCCCCCACCCCAAATCTCAACATTTTTTTAACGTGCTTTTATTAAAGGTGGGGTTAACGGTTGTAAGCAAAAACATTTTTGCTGTTTATGAAATGACACAACCTCTAAAATTCTTTAATTCTGTCGGCTTGTTATGTTCATTGACGTCAACCGTATATTATTAATTCAGCTATTAAAAATCAAGCTTGTAGTACCTCCGACTTTAGTTTACAAATGACTCTTTTTACCCCTTTTTGTCACATTATTTTTGACCGACAAAAGCACCACACATTGACGTAATTGTGTCCTACCTCGTCTACTCCGAAGACAGGTCGTGGAGAAGACAACTTCACGCTTTACATCATCAAGCTTGCTATATAAATAAATCATCCAACATTTGGTTCTCCAATTAATGTCGTCGCTTCTCCGGAAACCGATTTTTTTTAGTTATGTTTCTTTCATTCTATTTTTTTGCCTCAATGTTTTCGGGTAGGCACGTGCAAACCGTGCGTACAAGTAGCTAGGCCCCTGTTTAGTCTCCTTAGCCCAGGGCGTTCCTCTCTTGCGGTTTTCGCGGGAGTTCAGGATGTGGTCCACCCAGTATTTCACGTCTCTTTTAAATGAGAGGCAGCACTTCTTGTTTACCGTTTCGTTATCAGACAGGGCTTAGGCTCTTAGCCTTTCATTTAATTTTGATCAAATTTTTATCATTTAGTTACTCAGTATACGTTCCATCCTGTCCTTGTAAACTTATACTTTTATACTTTAAGGGAGCTTAATTCCTATATTAATTTTTTCTTCGTTTAGTGTCGTCCAAAAGACCCAGTTTTTTGGCATTTTTTAAAAAAGCAAGAAAAAGAAACGACAAGGTTTATTTTTTTCGGACTTAGATTAATTCTTTTAATCTAAAAAATTAGCATTATAACATCATTTCGAGGCATAAAACGTTCGGTGGTGTAGTCTTTGCTTTTTACCCTTTCTGGGTCTTTTTTTATGAAATTGACCATCAAATTTTCCGCCATATTGAGTTTGTGTCGATTTGGTGACCATGTCTTGTTGTTTTCAGTCTCCACGGCTATGATGCTGGTGTTTCAGGCCTCCCGTTCTCAGATTTCTTGTGATTTTTTTTTTCACCCCACCGACCGACCCACCGAAAACCAGGAAACCTATTCGACGCTAAACGAACGAAAAGGGGATGACCTAAGCCTTATGGTTTCTTTTTGGGCTTCCTCACCACATTGCTTCCGCGTGTTTCTGTATACTTGTCTTTTGCTTTCTTTTGTTCTCTTTTGTCGGTAAAATAAACTGAAACTGTACAAAGACCTTCAATATTCCCTTTGGAGGTTCTCGAACGCGCGTAAAAAAAATGAAAAACGCGATGATTTATTGACCGCAAAGGCAATGGGGTGGGGTTAGGGCTCGTCACTGCGCTCCGGTTCACTCGTACGCTGTCAAATGGTCCCGAAATACAAAATGAAAAATGACTGTGGACAGACTATTCAGGTCTAGACATCAAGCATGTTTTAAGATGGGACTTATCGCCTCTCCCTGTTCATGGAGTTGATTCAAGCTGTTGACGTTAATTTCGTGATGCCTTGCATGTTGCCAGGACATGTTTCAAAAGGGCCTTTCCAAAGGTACGGAGTCCACCGTCACCTTGTCAACCGTGCGAGAAATGATGTACTTCACAAAAACAAAGAGAAGTTATTTTCGATTTGCCCCGCCCCCTACCCCCGAAAGTCCCCGACAGGACCGCTTCAAAGTACTCCCCATGTGGTTGCGCGGGGGATAGTAACAGGTCTACCTAATTTCACCGTGCACCAATGACAGTTTAGCTCAATCAGAAGCCCCTTTTCCCTGGCTAGTTCAAGGTGTGTGCACCTCCTTTAAGCTGTTGTTTTCAGTTCTTACTGAAATTTTTGATCTTGAGGAAATTCACAACGACAGGAGCAGGCTATGGTCCTTTTTCCTAGCCCTAATCCTACATCACGGGAAATCAATCAGGTTAGGCAAGAATTCGATAATCCTTCCATAATCATCCATTTTTTGACCGCGTGAAGTGGGTATTTTTAGCTTATTTCGAGGAAATACTTTTTGCTTCAAATCCAGGGTGGGCTTTTAAACACATGTTTTAAGCCAAATGGTTTTTGCGAGAATCTGCTTACCCGAACTTTTCGCATAACAAACGACAAATACCCGCAAAAAGCTCATGTTGTTGGTGGTGGTGGCATATTTTCGATAAATTCAGCTCAATGTCTCGTGAAGAAGAGTTCAGATCCGTGCCGCGCGCCTCTCGAGGCAAGCGTTCCGTCGAAATGCGAGCCCAAAAACAGGGGGTAAGCGGTCAATCTGTGAAAAGTAACGCAATCTCCGTCGTTTGAGAGCAGCCGAAGATGCTGTTACCGATGCGGTCCTTGATGTTTTTTATTTCCAGTATGGAGGAAACCCATGCTAAGGTATGAAACATACACTCGTAGGCATTGTTCTGTCCGCTAAAGTCTAATTCCTGGACGCAGAAACATTGTGCTTTTTGAAGTTTATTATTGTGCTTTGCCGTTTGACAACCTTACGTCACTCGTGCGTTTGGTAGCAGAAGATTGCTATAAAACTCTGCTTTTCTTGTTGGAAAACGGCTTTAAATTTATCAGATCGCTCGATAAACACGTGTTGGTTTCTGATAGCTGATAACGTTAAATCACTGTTGCTCAAACAGATTTCTTATTGCATTTTTCTGAGTTTTTAGCATCGACCCGCTGAGTTTGGAAAGCTCAAATTTCAGAAAAGTACTACCAGTATTTTTTGGCCTCAAACATTTTCTTTTAAGTTGCCCGTAGTTTTGAAAACAGATTTTGAAAGAAGAGATAACGCTCTTTAACGTGGTATAAGACTCGTTACTGAAATCGAGGTACCAGTCGACGATTTTGGGCTTTGAAATTTGCTATTTTTTCATTGAACGAAAACGTTCAAAATATTGAAAATAATGAAAAATCTCCAAAATATTACACTTTCGTTCAAACTGAGTAAATGACCATTTAGAATGTGTGCAATTAAGTACTCTTCTGAATAAGTTATTTGTTGTCCACATTACAATGGATTTGAATTTTAAAACGATTTTTTTGCGACACATGGTCTCGGGCCTGGAAAACCCGGTCCGAGAGCCGCGAAACCAATAACCCCCCCGTACGTGGAAAATAATTATCGGATCGAAGTAAAAATTACATTTATGTTAATAGCTTACCTAGTGCTACTTTGTGAATTTTTTTGAGAATTTTCGATTTTTCACTTTTGTAGACCTCTGGTCGATATTTACTGACATCCGCTCTTAAGCCTTAAGAGTGATCAGCATCAAATTTCTCCTTGTAATACCAATGCTTTGTAAAACAGAGTGGTCATGAGAATTACGGACATGATCACACTAAGATGAATTTTCTTGATATTTTATCAACTTCTCCCCACTACTTCTGTAGGAAATGAATGGGGGCAACAAATGAGAATTCAAATTTTGATCTTAGGGTTTAAAGGGTTAAACTTGAAAAAATAAACTTACCACTCTTCATAATCAACACAGCAATCACCGATCCTTTTACATAATTCGTCACAGTAGCAGTATCCCCAGGCAAAATCAATGCGACCTGGAGGACCATAGCTACCCCCTCTACAGGATGCTTGAGATCTGTTGCAGAATTTGTTAAACCCATACACGTCCGTAATTTGTCTGTGGAACTCGGTGCAAAGCGAGGTTTGGTTTGCCGTGATTGGTTGGCAAGGACCTGGTAGCAAAAATGTATGAAGATTACTGACTTAAAGAGAAGGCTTAAGTGATAAATTAATAACCACGGTACCAAAGGCTTTAATATATTTTTGACACGCCTAATCTTCACCGCTCCTCATTGCGAAAAATATACTTTCTCTAAATAAATATTCAATTTCCATGTGTCGTTAAGTTGGTGATGGATGATAAATTGGTAAAACTAAACAACATTGATTCACTATGTGAATGCCAGACAAAGTTCCTTTAAGTTGTAGGAAAATGACATCTGCGTTATTCAAAGCCAATTGCTGGTAGTAATCTGAATAAGTAGCGCAGTAGAACCCACTTACTCGAACTCTGACCTGAAAACGCAAATAAAAATGAAAATGAAAATGAAAAAAAAAAAGTTCGAGTTAGCAGGGGTTCGGGTTATCATGGTGCATTCAATAGCCATTTTGCCTTGTTCATAACTAATGGTTTACTGTTGCCACAGCTCTTCAGTATACGCGGTATAGAGTAAATTAAACTTATCTGAAACTGTACCACATGATTCGGTATGTCTCATACTTTCGGAAAATGATTGTCGATTACGTGATCTATTCGTCTCACTAATTTAAAGCAAAATGCTGTGCGTTAGTTTCAGTGTTTTTACCTATATTTGCACTCTACAAGAAGACCTTATGGGACGGCATAGGTTGTGAATTGCACAACCCGAAATGGAGTTGTCGAGGGGGGAAATTTAGAAAGAGTCTGAGCGGCATATAGGACAGTATAGCGGGCAAGTTCGAGTCAGCCCTAGTCCCTCCGTGCCAGAATACCAATAATTTATACCACTCTCTTACCAGAACGAGGTTGGCCCTGCCAAGCAAATGGACCATAGACGATCAGCGAAGCAATAAAACACAGGGTTAATAATCCCATGTTGCCGAGCCACTTTGCTCACTCAAGCTAAGCATAAGGAGAAGTGTTCCCTAAATTTGGAAAAAATACATCATATAAATGCATAGTTATCTAAGAAACGGCTCTGACTTATACCCACGACGGAGTATTTAAAGCAAGTAACTATATCAGACACTTTTCAAAAGACTCAGCTTCCTGCGAGAACGAAACCTCTCAAGAATCTCCGCTCCGTGTTCGGCACATCCGAGTATAAAATATAGAAAAATAAAAAAAATGTTTTGACAAGGTCAAAACGACTTTGTTTTGGTTGGCATCTTTAGCTGACAAATTCAGTGTAGAACTTCTGTGTTGGCCCTTAGTGCTGGTCTAAATTAGCGCAATGAACGTCGATCTGAAAATAACCTCGTGGCACCAACATACTGTACATTGAAGTTCCTCGCTCGCTAGTATAGACGCTGTGAAGTCCTTTAGCTAATTGTAAGGCGTTAAGAAAAAAGTTAAGACAACAAGCAAATAATCAGGAATAATGAATTTGTCTTCTTTAAAAAAGATTGTTAGTAAAAAGAAAAGTAGAACGTCCTGTTTTTGTTTTGTTTTTGTTTTCGTTTTGTTTTCTTTTTTCAAGACGACGCCGTGTAAGAAACCCCTTTACTTTGGGAAATTATGGAAGCAATTTCTAAATTTGAAACTTCTTCGTTTTGATTAAACAAGTGTAACTCACCATACTACATGTCATAGCACCTATTTGAGAAGAGATAAATAGGCCTTGCCTTAGAGAATTTGCCTGAAAAAGAAATTCAGGGCTTGAGTGTCCTGAATGAAATAAAGTTTTTCTTTTTATGACTTGTCAATACAAAAATATATATATTCAGTTTTGTTACGTAATACATGTAATAGTCATATAACCCGATTACACGGCGTTTGATCCATGCGATTAATAAATTCCACCATAACTAAGTGGAATTCCTTTTCAAGTTAAATTTACTATTTCGTTGTCATCAAGAAGGACCCGAAAATAGACCATGCTATGTTTTCTTCGCGATACGATCATAGAATCATGTTATACCTTTCCTTTGGAATTTCAAGTAGGACATGGAAAAGACTAAACGCTTGGTCATAACTTCAGCCCAGCTTTGAAAAAGAAGAAGAAGAAGAAGAAATGGCATGGCCCCTTTGCAGGCCTTATTCATGAGAACAGTTAAATCATAGGCCTCACCTAAAAATCCGTCTCACCAGCCTGGCTGAGCGTCTAATGCTACATGCACGGTAGCTTGCTCCAGTCACGGATCACGGCCTTAAATGCAGGACAAAATAAAGTTTCTGATTTGACCTCCGGTCATAAAAACAGGTTTTTTTATGTAATACAATGTCATATAGGACAGGAAAGGATGTGAGGAAAGACGTAAGTTCATTGTTGTCCACTTCTCATACAGTTAGGAAGAATGACTCATTAATTCCAATTTCCCACCATAGTTACAAAAACAATACGGATCATGGGAAGATTTGTGTACTTTAAAAAAGGCTCCAGTAAACCATTCAATCAATTAGTGAGTCGATTGATGATGACTCAATTATTTTAGACTATGAAGAGTGCATCTTAGGAGCTAAGCACTGTTCAAAAACGAACCAAAAAACTCTGGGCTTTGTTTCAACGATGGTTATGTTTCTTCTGAAATAGAGTGCACAATAATGTTACTAGACATATATCCGCTGATATAAACAATGAAAAGCATGGCCTTCCTTCCCTCATTAAGGTTCACGAGCAACAATTTGTACAACGGAACAATTAAGAGAGTATGATAGACAGCCTTTAAGCAGACGCTCTCGGTTATTCGAACCGGCTGTTCACTCAAACATGGCTGATTCATTTTTATGAATTGTAGGTTCAGAACAAAAAGTTAAGCTTACTTGAAATTCTTGGTTACCTTAAATGCAAATTTTAATTTAAAATACAGAAACGTTTTGCTACTGATATAGTTAGAAATAAGGGCGAAGCTAGCCGGGGGCGATACGGCGGCCATATTGAATTTATCAGACTTAAGGAGTATTATGGGATACCCAGGGGGCACTCCCTCAGTATTTACGCTCGCTTTTCGGGCAAAACTGAGAGAACTTTATTGTATATTTCTCGGCAAAAGGGCGATCATTATTGCATCCAAACACGGCACAACGATCTTTTTTCCCATTGCAATCTTTTTCTAGGAAAACTTAAAGAAAAATTGGCCCGAAAAGGGCACGAAAATACTGATCGAGTATTTAGGATAGTGCTCATGCCCCCTGAGCATACCATAATACTCCTTAAATCGAAGTAATTCAATATGGCCACCATATCGGTAAAAAGGTCTATTGCACGAGCGTATCTTACTCTATAAGGCCTAGGCCAAACATTGAACGTTTCATGAGACGAGCCAAACTCTATTTTGGTTCGTCTTGAGTTAAGATCGTCTGTCAGACGTCGAACTTAGGATGCTTCGAACCAATCAAGTGAATCAGACCAAAGAGAAGTTTTAACAAAATTTCTTCCAAATTAGTAATTTCTTAGTTTATTTGGTCGCATGTAAAGATCGAAGAGACAGACGTCAAACTCACTAATTTTGGTTCGTCTCATGAAAAGTTCAACCTTGGCCGAGGCCTAAAACGTCAAAGATAACTAAAACACAAAGAAAACAAGAGGACTCAAGAAAACGGAACCGACACTGAAAAGCGTGATCTCCGCTCATTAAGTTATGATTCATGTACAACAATTGTACTAATTAAAGGTGAAAACAGAACGACAGGTGATTTTTCAGCAGCCGCTCCACAGTACAGGACCCCAAGCTCACGAGTGAGAATCGTTGTTGCGTAACAGAAATACTAGAAGGGTTTGTATGGGGATTTAAGCGCTCGTTATTAAAGGGTCAAAACTAGTATGTCTGGTCTGTAGAGGTCGCGAACAATATTAAATAGCACTCGGACTGATCTGAGTTAAGTACAAACATTGAGGGTAAAGAATAGACATACAGTTACCAATCAACAAAACACTCCATATGGAAGAACTAGAAACAACACTCCTCCGTCATTATATAATTCTGTCGCTAAATAAAAATAATGATGATGATGATGACAATAATAATAATAATAATAAAATAATGATAATAATAATAATGAGAAGAAGAAGAAGATTTTATATAGTGCTATTCAGCTAATCTTTCACAGGGTTTTACAATCATTTTGCTATCGTAAAAACTAAAAACGAAAGACACCTACTTAGATAAATTAATAACAGAGCTTAAATACATCGACAGAAAATAAGAGTCAAAAGTCTAAAATCTAAGAATAAAAATGTAAATACTTGTACTAGAAATAAAGTTAAAAGCTAAAGGCTCCTGTTGCGTTAAGGAGTAATAAGATATATAAGCCTTCAATTTTTTTTCTTTCGTTTTTTAATAGATATCGGTGGAGATCTGGGAATACCGAGAGGCAAAGTCTTAAGTCTTAAGTTTAGCCAGTGGCACAGTGAGCAGTTCTTTGCCACTGGAACGTAATGACCGAGAGAACTTTCGATGACTCAGCAGACTAGAAATATAGGACGGTGCTTTGCCTTTGAGTACTTTATAGATAAGGCCCGGTTCAAACTTCGAAATTCACATGTCCCGAATTTGTATAGGTAATAGCATGATTAGTAGTGATATTTGGCATAAATACCACGAGTGATATTTCAAAATAGTTATACGTAATTTCACGAGCCGTTAGGCGAGTGAAATTTGAGACAATTTTGAAATATCATGAGTGGTATTTATGCCAAATATCACGTACAAATCATGCTATTATTTGTTTATACTACTACCTGCAAAAGGTTTGTAATTTTCACATGTAGGTATTTCAAATTAAGCTGAAATACCACTGCTCTAAGCCAATCAAATTGCGGAAATTTCTCATGTAGTGGTATAAAACTCCTAATTTAGTGGACTAAACTAAAATAATAATTACGGCAGCTGATTCAAACGTCGGATATAATGGTTACGAATTTAATTCCGTTAGTTGTAAATATTCCCAGTCGCTAAACAACTTGTTATCCATTGTGAAAAATAGTTTCTATAATTAATGCATAATATGCGCCACATGTGAAATGCGACGTTGTCTGAATCAAATGTCGAACCAGAGTCGAATCTTTCACTGTTTCAGTCGCAGATTCGGCAAAGTCGTAAATTAGTAACTGTCCAATTCAGATCTTGCATCTCACATGCAGTCATTTTTGAAATTAAATTCGGAACATGTGAAATACCAAATAACAATACCTTGAAATAATACGCGAAGGGCAAGATTTAAAGCTCTTGACTAACAATATTGCACATGTTTTATTTTTTTGCTTTTCGCACCTTTGAAGTGTTTTCGGCCTAATTCCACCCTCAAGATTTGTTGTTGTGACGACACAATTCTCAGAAAACGCGTTTAATTTGATTAATAGTTCCAAGAGTAAAACCCCTCTGGCCCAACGTAAGTGTTTAGTGATGAATACAGAACAACTTAGTCTAAAGCTGCACGTACGGAGATTTCATACGAACAAAACTTTACCTAACCAAGCCTCGTAACTTTATTCCCTTACTGGAAACGGTCAAATAAACGAGAAAAAGCTAACTTTTTACCATAAATGTGTCCATCAAATCAAATATAAAATGCCTGTAGCTAAGAGAAGATTGCAAGGTAATTTTTTTTTACATTTAGATTGGTTTTTTCCTGTAGTGGCTGTTACAGTTTTGTTCCCATCTGTCATATTGAAATGGTCATATTTTAACCGATAATTAAAGACCAGCTAGATACGTTACTATGAGAATCTGTGCAACCTCAGAAAGAACGCAGTTCATCTAATATGTTGAAGACCTATGATAAGGGAGAGTAGCTACGACTCGCTCATCACAACGTTCTTGAAGCTTATTAATCAGGTAACACTGGAGAACCAGCAATTCCTTTGAAGGCATAGTTTTATCTTAAAAGGTAAGGCTTAAAGAGGTATGCACTTATTATATAAAATTTTAAGAAAGCAGGATATAAATTATTATCACTTGATATTTTGAGAAAAGTTCATAAATCACTTGCATGCACGTAACGGTTAACGTAACGTAATGGTAAAGTTTTATTTACACAATTTAAACCAAGAGAAAAGGATAACCAACACTGTTAAAACGTGTTTAGGAAAAAATTGTCAAACAGAGATTGATTTTAGCGTTATTAGTCATTGCTAGTGCTTTTAAGAGTTTTACCCTCTTGCTGTCCGAAATTCTCCCTATTTTTTCTAACGGAGTGTACGTCCTTGTTTAAGTTTTTGCATAGTGCCGATTTACAAACCCGAATTCGAGCTTTGTTATTAAGCAGTTAGTAAAAGATTGGCGCATAAAAAGTGTGTGAGTTTCTTCATTTATGTTGAAGACCTATGACAAGGGGGAGTAGCTACGACTCACGCATCACAACATACTTCAACCTTTATCAGGTTATACTAAAGAACCAGAAATTCCTTTAAAGATATCGGTAGTTTTATCGTAAAAGGTATGGCTTAGAGGTATGCGCGTTTTAGACAAAATATTCAAGAAAGAAGGAATTTTATTGATAGTATGAAAACTTCACTTGCATACACTTAACGATTTTTCATTAAAGCAATAGAGTTTATGTTCTTGGGTATAAATATGAGGCGAGGGTTAAAATGTGTTGTGAGAATGAGGGTCCAAAACATGCCCAAGACTTGAACACAAACTCTTTTACTATTGTTATGAAGTAGTTGCTGTTAGTTCTGTTTTGGAGTTTTGGTATTTTTAAGGTTTTTCTATCCGAATGATTATTTTGTGGCACGCGCTATTTTCTTAATAAACAGGTCATAGTCCAAGGAAATTCAATGTATAGGCCACACGGTTAGTTCCTGGGTTTTGAGAAGTATCGTCTACCGAAAGGATTTGTTAAACTTGTTGTAGTTCTTTGAAGTAAGCATGTTCGGGGATTATAGCTGACCTTGAGTTTTGCCTCCACTGAAGTTCCTGCTTTGTATGCTTGGTCCTAGCGAGCAGTTTTACCGCTAGCATTCAATTGGCTCTTTAGTACTTGTTAATTGCGACAGTGTAAACCATTCTATCGTTCACAAGTTCAGCGACAGGATATGCAATGGAAGGGTCTCATGGTCAGCTAACCCAAACACGTCCACAATTTCGTTATTTAATTCGCTGTGTTAGCTAGTAGAATTAGTTGAGTAGTAGAGTTGCTGTCAGAAGCTGTTGAAGAATAAACTGCTGTCTAAAGAGAAAGAATAGAGTCTTGGTCCTCTTGTTAAAAAGCCAAGCGAGCTTCGCAAGCCCTCAACATACTTGGTGGAGAACTCTTTTGAAGAATCACTGCAATTGTGAGTGGAACTTTGTTTTTGTTAGCATGCCTTTCCGTTGCAAGCTAGTTTAGTCCTGTAGTTTTCTTTGCTTTTGATAATGCTCGAACTTGCGTAAGACGTAGTTTATTTTCAGTATACGTGTCGATTAGTTTGTGAATTAGTTATGGCTGCTACGAGTCAATTTCAAAGTTCGGTTTTCTTTTGATGTGTTTGTCGCTTTTCCCGTTTATGAGTGTCGTTTTTTATTTTATTGCCTTCGTTTTTGAGTCTTTGGAAAATTTGGCTTATGTTGAACTTTTCCACTTGTCATCCTGATTACTAGGCAGAGAGCGCGAACCCTGGCTCAGGGGGCCGTTCGCCAGGAAAATTTGGCTGTGAATTCAGGTTCGAATGAGTGGCCTGCCCCTCCTCCACCCGTTCAGCAGTCTAGAGAACCGTTGTTCCGTTCATTTCTAAGGTCAATTAATAGATCACTTAGGGCTGAAGCACAAGCACAGGCGTTAAGTGCAATTCCGACCCCCAGTGAATGCTCTCTAGTTTCTTTTTGTACTAGCGACCACGAGTCCGACTCTGAAGAAGAAATTATTTATGAAAACGTAGAGCCCAGAGATAATTGTCCTAGTCGTGAAAGTATAAGTGAAGATTCAATTCAGGAACCGCATAATTCATTTGTTGATAGTTCTTTAGAGTCAGATCGGTTGTCTCTTTCACCAGTCTATGCCGAAATGGAAGATCAAGTCAGAGTCAGTTGTGTCGAGCAGTTGAGCGAATGCAGGCTTCTTTTAACTCACAGGGTAGAAATGTCGGTGTGAAATCGTCAGTAACGTTTCCAGTTTTTAGGGGAGATGAGTGTGAGGACGCTCATGAGTTTATTAGGAATTATAAGAGGGCTGGTAGATTAAATGGTTGGGACGACAACAATTTAGCGTTGGGGCTTCCTCTCTATTTAAAGGGTCATTCTAGCGCGTGGTTTAAGACTTTGCCTACGGCTGACGAGATGTGGAAGATAGTATAAGTCTGAGAGGGAAGCACTTGCGTTAGTCGAAGGAATTAAGAAGTTTCAACCTTATCTTCAGAATCGCAAATTTACAGTTGTTACTGATCACAGTTCCTTGCGTTGGTTAATGAATGTTAAGGACGCTTCAGGTCGTTTAGCAAGATGGGCTTTACTTTTGCAGCAGTATGATTTTGAGATTGTTCATCGCCCTGGTAAGATTCATGGCAATGCAGATGGTTTATCTACGAGTCCTTATGTGTCATGCGATTTTAATTCACTCCAAAACGAGGAGCCACAAGTGGCGAAAACTCGAGAGTTGCAAAGGCGTGATCTTGACCTGAACGAGATAATTGATTACCTAGAAAGTGATGTTTTACCATCAGACGATCGTGCTGCGCGCAAAGTTTTGCTCACGAGTGATAGTTTTTATATTGGCATGATCGATTACTTTATCATTTAGGCGACAATCGGAAGCGCAATTCTTGGGATTCGTTTTCTCAGCTCTTTGTTCCACCAACGTTAAGCTTTGAAATTTTGTCTAACATGCATGACCATGTTTCTGGTGCGCATTTTGGGGTCCATAAGACGTTCAATAAGATTAAGCAGAGGTATTGGTGGAAAGGAATGTACAAAGATATTGAACTTGGTGTAAGTCTTGTACTGAATGTTCCATGAGGAAATCGCCTAGAAATTCGAAGAAAGCACCTTTACTTCCAATTCCAGTAGAAAATGCCTTTGATAGGGTAGCCTTTGATGTACTGGGGCCTTTCCCACCTTCTAATAGAGGCAACAGGTGCGTTTGTCGTTTTCAGTGATTGCCTTACTCGATGGTGTGAGGCATTTCCCGTTCCAAGCGTTGAAGCAACTGTAATTTCTCGTCTTTTGGTGGATGAAGTCATAGCCAGACATGGTGCACCTAGAGTTTTGCTGTCTGATAGAGGGAAAAATTTCCTGTCTAAAGTGGTAGCAGATGTTTGTAAGATCTTTCAAATTCACAAAGTAAATACTTCTAGCTATCACCCGCAGACTGATGGCCTAGTCGAAAGGTTTAACTCTACCTTATGTCAGTCACTTTCGATGTATGTCTCAAAGAATCAAAAGGACTGGGACGATTTTATACCACCAGTTTTGTTTGCTCATAGAACATCAGTTTTAGAAGCCATCGGCGATTCTCCTTTTTACGTTCTGTATGGCCGTGAGCCTCGTTTACCTGTGGATGTCAAGTATTTACCGCCAGTCGCTGATGACGTCACTACTTCAGTTTTTAAACATCGTAAGCGTATTGTTGAAAAGCTTGAGTTAGCGCAAAATTTGGCAAGAGAAAATTTGCAGCGTGCTCAGCAGAAAATGAAGGATTACTATGATCAGGGGGCTAAGGAACCAATTTTTGTGGTTGGTCAGCGTGTATGGGTTTACACTCCTCGGACTAAAAAGGGTTTGTCTAGGAAACTTTTACACAGTTGGTTGGGACCATACAGAATAGTAGAACAGTAGTCTCCAGTTCATTTTCGATTGCGTACTGATACTAATAAGAAAGTTGCTTTTGCCGTGCATGCTAATCGAATGAAGCCGTTTATCGATCCGAGCTTACGACCAATTGAACCTCCACTATTTGATGACCCAAGTGAGCCTTATCTTGATGAGTCAGATATTCCAGATGACTGTTTTGAGTCAGAGCTTCCTGTCAATAAAAATATTGACTCTAGTCCACCAGATTCAGACTCTGCAAATTCAAGCACCCATTTAGATCGTCAGAACCGACCGGTGCAGTCGCAATCAAATCCTGATCATTCTGTGATAGATGACGAAAGTATTTTTCAAGCTGATCGGATTCTCAAGTCTCGTAGGAAAAAGGGCAAAATGGAGTACCTAGTTCAGTGGCATATTTTTTCAAGAAATCAGTCGACTAGGGAACCGAAACAAAACATTTTGGATAAACGCCTAATCGTTAATTTCAATAAATCAAGGGAGTAGTGAGTCCTCTCGTAGTCGATTCATTTTTGTTTTGTTTTTCTTTAGGGATCAAGATTGTATTCAAAGCGTTTTCTTGTAGATCCCAACCGTTGCGTTGTCTTATACTTGTTTTTGTTTTTGTTCAGTTTTGCGTGATACGTTCTCAAAATTTTGGTTCTCTTACGCAGAGAGTAGCATTTTATCCTGTTCCATTGATGATTAGTCATTCTCCTAAGCCGCTTACTTTTTATGCCGAAACACAGCTTTTGAATGTTCACACAGTTTTTAATTTTACTTACCTTAGCGGTAGTTTCGCCATGAGTAACAAATCTTGTTCTGTACCTCTGGAAAAGTTCTTTGATCAATTATTGCTTACTGTTCGCGGTTTTCAAAAAGTTGTTCGTCGGCTTCTTTCTTTGCCAGGCTTTTCAACTTTGGTTGAGTGTGACACTTATTTACCGAGGTATTATCAGTTTATGGTAGGAAGAGTTTCGAGAATGTCGTGTCCAAGAGCCTATAAAAGTTCCGTTTCTGAGTGTAAAACTTGGGCGTTACGATTCTGCCGCGGCATGTCGGTTGACGAAAGACAGTGGTGGCTAGGGAGAGACCGCATGCGACGTTCAAATTGGATGTGCCACGCAGGGGGTCTAGGTATTTTTCGCGCGATTTGGACCGGAACAGGCCATAAATGCGAGGAGAATCACGTTAAGAAACTTAAGGCCACTTTAAGAACTCTGAGCAGCGCTATGTCTATTTCTCAAAGTATGATGCGTGTTATCAACGGAAAAGTTGTGTATTTGTTTAAAATTACCGATCAAATGAACAGTAAATTGGATATTTTGTCTCTCAGTTTAAAAATAGCTCAAAACACGTTTACTAGTTGGCAGAGACGACTCAAAAAATTTGCCAATTCGGTCAGATGCCACGATGGAATTTCTTTCTAAATATACTGCGGAAATTAACCGTGCCTTTGTCGCCTTTCTTAAACTTTTTGAAATCCAAGATACTTTAAGCCAGATTTCCCATCTGAACGATAAACCGTTGGTAGGATATTCAGATTTGCCTAAGTTTATTTCTTCGCACTTGTCTGCCAAACTTTCTATTGATCCTTCTTTGAGATTGACTATAACAGAATTAGAGGAAGGTTTGTCCGTCCTGGCAGGCCCTATGGTTGACGTTGAACATGATGGTCAGAATTTGACTATTGATATTTTATTGTTAGCACCTGTGATCACGGACAAGAATAATTTCTGCGTCGTAGAACATTTGACGCCCCTTAAGTTTAATATTTCGGGTAAGTGTTTTTCAGGGCCTGTTCAACACACAAACCTTGCTTTAATTAACTGTCCAAATTCGAGGCAGGTAGTGTCTTTAGAGGGATTAGATAGGTGTTCTAGTAGTGAAGTAGGTTTTTTATGTCCCAAAAATGTCTTAAAGTCGGTTTCTAGCTTGCAATGGTTGGATTTTGCTTGGAATCCGAACCTGAAACTTTCTTTCCCGCGGAACCACGAGGTCGCTCCAGACTGTGACCATATCCATCCGCTAATTCATCTTGGAGGCAGATATTTCCTCTCAACAACTTCTGGAACATTAACTTTAAGCAGCGGAGAGTTAGATGTTTCTCCATTGGCAGTTTATAACTTTCCCTGCAACGTCAGTTTCATCGGAGTGAAAAAACGAGCTTAGGCACCTGTCCTCAACGACTACTGGTATCACTTCCACTGTTTTCAACTGATATGATGACATATGTTCAGTGGGATCCAAACTCAGATGATCTCACTCCGCTGGACTTGCATCAAGAATCCCTGACCATCCCACCACCTATTAAGATTAACCGTACTGTGATTGATAATTTTGATGAGTTGTTTCCGCGTTACGATGGCCACCTTAGTGATACTTTGCAGAAGGCAGGCAGTCGTATTGATCAGATAGAAGAAACTACTATTTCCAGTTACGTCGAGTACATTGCTTTCATTGCACTAGGTATTTCAGTGACCAATTTCATCGTCTTTTGTATTGTTTGCCGATGTATCTTCAGGATATTTGGACGTCGAGCCGCACATACGCCTCCTCCTCCCTTGCGAGCACCCGTTTCTAACAACCTTCTGCGCAAGGTATGCGGTCATTGTTCTAAACCCATAAAGAACGATCGTCGTAAAAACGCTGCAAGTAATAATAATAATAATAATAATAATATTTATAGAGGGAGCCCAACTCGCCAAGGCGGTTTTCAGTGGGGCCCTCATAAAGTAAACAGTGTCGTAAAGTAAGTAAACAGTGTCGTGACCCGCGACGATTTGGAGCAAAGGAGCAGTAGCAAGACTTTTCCGGACAAGACATTCCAAGCTTAAAAAAAAAGAACTGAACTGTATTTAGCTCTCGCGTTTTTTTTGTTTTACCGATGATGTCTTACTGTATTAATTTAACTTTGGTTAATTTTTCGAGGTTTTTAGATGAAATTGGGGCTACTCAGTTAGCTTCAATTAGTGATCGCTTCGCGTCATTTAAGTATGAGTGTGACAGTCGTTCTTCGAGGCAAACAACATCTGTATTTCACATAAATCACTCTTTTTCGTGGCAATCTATTGATTTGTTTTTAGGGTTATTTTCTGGTTTTGGTCGATTTCTAAATTGGGAAGTAGATAACCTTGTCGAGTTCGTGCATATTTGTCATTATTTCATGATTTACGAGCGCTACGTCAGTGACATTTTTCGCGCAACTTTTCCGCGAGATTATTGTCGTTCGTTTCCAGAGAATCAATT